GAGAGAATACTTCGGTGAACAGATAATTTCACGTTTGCAGCCGGCCGATTGCTCACCACGATCGTGTGGTATGAMATCGTTGGAATTTTTGAGGGGATATGTAAAGCCTGAAGTCTATACGGAYAGTTACTAGTCGAAATGCTKGAACGAGTCAACAAAAATATCATTCGTTGAGTAATGGACCATCTGAGAAGTGAGTGGCCAACATTTAAAAAAGATAATCTTCAAAAAACTAACCGCCAAAGGATGTTCTTTCGAATGATAAAAAAAACATTCCATTTCCACATTCCCATTAAATTTGAAGTTTCTGTTTTTTTTTTTGTTCTTCAAAAACGTAGGGAACCTCGAAACGGATCGACCATTATATACATCTGTACATGACTGTTATGTGCATAGACCTTTCACTTGAAGCAGATCTACAATACTAGTCTAGTGAAATGATTGATTTTGTCATACGATCTGAACAATTTCTTCCAACTAGGCAATAATCCATGTCGAATTTCARATGAAACACACATATGTACACCTAATTCGAAACGCTCATTTCATATGGCAACTACATGCATACATATGTATATGCTATAGGGCTTCGATCTCAACAGTTTCTTTGGAGATTGAATTAGTAGTGCTTTAGACAGAGTTCGTGAAAATGCAATCATTCGTTCAGTTTGTATGGTAGATATGTCCTATAGCGTTCCGATCTAAGCAATTACTTCGGAAATTGTGGCGATACTTTGAAAATTCAATGTGCCAAAATTCGTTAAGATAGATTGTCAAATAAATAAGAGTCCCATACAAGGGCTTCATTCCGATTGTTCAATTTGTTCGGCAGCTAAATGTTATAGTGATCCGATATCGGCGGTTCCGACAAATAAGCAGTTTCTTAGTAAGAAAAGAACAGGATAAAAATTTCAGACAGACTGACGGACACTAAATCGACGTAGCTCGTTATTCATGAAGAAACTTTATAAGGTCTCCGTCGACTTTTTCTGGTTGTCCCAATATACCCATAAATCCCGTTTGCTTTTTTTTGTTTTTTTTTTTTGAGAAATGATTTGACACTTTTCTCTGCTGGTGATTCTAGCAGGAATATAAACACACTTTTTTTAGCAAAATTCCTTTTTTTTTTTTTAATTCAACATAATTCCCTTCAGTCGTGATACGCTGATTATAGCGAACCTCCAACTTTTCGATACCATTTTTGTAGTACGATTTGTCCTTTGTTTGAAAATAAGCCTCAATTTCCGCGATCACATATTCATTCGACGAAAATTTCTTCCCGCTGAGCATTCTTTGGAGATCTGAGTACCGCATATAGTCGCCGAGGCCGAAATCTGAAGAATACGGTGGTTGGGAAAGCAATTCAAAGCCCGATTCTTGGATTTTGCAATCGTTTCCACTGACTTGTGAAAAAAATTATTTCAAGCGCATTCCAAAATACAGATCCTGTCAGTTAATAAATAAATGTTATCCCAGAAACTACAGACGCCATAGGTTTGCCAGCCGATTGTTGCATGTTTCCATCTTTTGGAGTGGATTTATCGTGTGCAGTTCACTCGCATGACTGTCTTTTGGACTTCGAAGTGAAATGATGGAGCCATGTTTCATCTATTGTCACACATCGATGTAAAAACTTGATTTTATTGCGCCTGAGCATCTCTAAAAACTGAATCATCAACCCGTCGTTGTTTTGAGTCAAAAGTGAGCTCTCTTTGAGCTCAGTGTGAGCATATTTTGCACGTGATATGATATACACGTTCAGTTGATATCTTTAGTGTACCTGCTATCTGAACTTCAATCAGGTGATTCGAAATTTTTTTTGAGACTTTTTGGTTGTTTTCGTCGGTATCAAACGCTTTTAGACGTCCACTGCGTTCACCGTGTTCGGTGCTCATTTCACCACGTCTAAACTTAGCATACCAATCTCTGATGGTTGATTTACCTGGTGCGGTGTCCAGTAACTCGTCATCAAGCCGAGTCTTCAAAAAGCTGTGTTTTATAAACACGCGAAATTCCTTTTTATCCAGTTTTTCATAATAACAAAAGTTGCTTCACTCAAAATTACATAATTCGCAAACTAATGATCCAACAATTTTCTAATTTATACAAGTGGCTTACAGCTAACGAAAAATCATAATTCCAGTAACACCTTATATGAGTCAGGCAGAGGACTTCAATTGACCTGGTATATCTCTAATGAAAACGCCCCATAGATATTGACCATTTTACGGTCTTATGAGGGCAATTTTAGAAGGTTTAAGTTCTGTATATAATTCAAAAAATTTCAGAACTCAATAAGGAGAATTTKGAGGATTAACTCCTTAACTGTTCCTTTTTCAAACTCGACAAAAAATCCAAACTATTTCGTGTTTCCATTTACAAAAAAAAAAAAAATCATTTAAAAATCACTAAGGCACCGACTGCAAAAGTCGTCGCATGGAAACCTAGTTTTGAATAATAGACATGAGTTTATCATATATAATATATTCAAGTTTCTTCCATTTTTGTTGAGTAACCTATCAACCTTGTTACTCCACTATGAAAACAAATGCGCAAACGGACTGCGAGGACTTATATAATGAGTTCAAAACCCGCCTAAAGGGAAGTAAACCCATCACGCATATAAACTTTTTATCTGTTGTTCCTAGAATTGAGCTTCTCTTTTATGTATTTACATGTGTACAAATAAAATGTGTGCATGCCCAGCATCCATGGCCATCTTTTATTGAGCATAAGTCTACTTTAAGCCTACACATGGAAGAAGTTCTTAAATAACTTTCGRCACTTTTGTTGTTTGAACGCAATATACATACATACATACGAGTACATACCAAAGTATAGACAAACAGCGACAAGTTAATATTACACGTTCTATAGAAATGTTAGCCATAAAAACCAACTTCTTCAGCCATGCACCAAACTCTATTCACCGTCTGCTATTCAGTCTGCAGCCGGCAAACGCAGAGGACGCATCAGTGGATCTGATTTGGTCCATACTTRGCGACTAAACTTGACTTGTGCATATTTGTTCAAACGAAATGAAAAGTTTAGAACTGGTTCAGCGTCGATTTGTTGCTGGCGGTGTTTTCTTGGCCTTATTGCTTTTACGCGCGCCGGCCAGTGGACAACCGGTTAATGATGAGTTGTCCGCGAACAATGCAGAAGCCAAAGTTATTTATGATCAAAGGCAAAGTGGTAAATACAATATACGCATCAATATTAAGGATGTGGCTATCATAGAAATGGATAATAGTGGCTTYGGTGATGTAAGTACAGAGGCGATATTTTTATGGAAAAAATTTATATAAACACTATTATTATTTGTTGTTTTCTGTTGCAGGAGAACTTTGGCGAGGAAGATTATTATTATGACGAAGAGGATTTAACGGTTAAGCCCTTAAATTTCACCAAACCGCCGAAAGTAACGACTTCGCATGAAGCGCTTTGCTCAGCAGAGTCACARCAAGTCACCTCATCACCAACACAAGCAACATTATTGCCAACAAAATTAGAGGAATCCACAAACACGCATTCGACAACAATTGCAACGAGCGTGTATCAACCAAATTATAACACCAACATATTGACAGACACCATGTCATCGCAAGCAACACCGAGTCAGACAACACCGGAAAGTATCGGCACCAGTTTCAGACTACTTCCGTCACTCCAATTGACTCAGTCGGTGTCTGAACCACGTTCACACCATAGCATAATTTCCAGATTATCAACAGCGCGTCCAATAAGCGAGTCTATGAAGCCAACACTTATCTCGCCAATTGCTGTTCAAGAATCACCGAAGTTCKCAGGAAGTTTACCAAATGCTCAAAAGCGTCATCACAACTTTGTAAATAAATATAGCATGCCGCAAACASCAATTTCGCCGCTCTATCCGCTGGCTAAAGGATATGGCCAACGTTGCCGAACACACCAATACCGTGACGTAAATGGCGGTTGTCGCAATAAGCGCTCTTCTTCATTTCTGTAAGTAGAATTAATTTATATATGTGGAATTAATCTATATATTTTCAACGATAATAGTGTGGATGTTAGTGAGTGTGAAAGGGCTAGTAGAGTAATTTTCCAAATTGTGAAACAACATTAGGGCTAAAAAAACTAAATCACTAAGTTTTTCGAAACACAAGGTCACGTTAATGTCTGAAGAACAATGCTTTCCGACTACCAGAATGTCAGGACAAGTGTTATTACTGGCGATGAGCCTTGGATCTATGCTTACGACGCGGAAATAGTCGACCAATCGGCCGCATATCATGCCAAGCTGAGCCAATAAAACTACGTCAAAGTAAGCTATTCGTTAAAAGAGGCCGAAATTAGGGGCTGACCACTCATTGCTATTGCGCCACGCCAATGCCACGCCGTCGCATTCTGCAGATTCAGTAGGTTTTCGCCAAACTTTCAACCGTTCCACAACCGCCGTATTCCGCTGATTTAGCTCCGCGTGACTTTTGGCTACCCTGATTGTTGTGGGAACAGGCTTCATTGCTATAGTTCTAGCCGGTAGATAGTGGAGGTTGTGTAATGTATTCAATTCAGATGTGATTGGTGAACGGCATCTTGCTAATAACTTCTTCATTACAATTTATATGGTGGAGCGCCTTTCAAAAAGTTTAGCATAACTTTGTTTTTGTTATTTCCAAATTTAAAAAATTTTATAAATATTTTTTAATGAGCACATATACATATGTACATATATGCATATTTTTTCAGAAAAAAATTGCTTAGCATCATTGCCACGTTTCCACGCGAGCTTGTCAAAGATGTTCCTGACGAATAAGCGCACAAAGAAAGCACGCGATCCAGTTGAATGTACGAGCACACACAGATCGCAGCATTATAAAGGAAACAATTTAATGTGAAAATTACTTGCATAGATACGTTTTATATTATGCATTAGGGCGAGCCAAAAAAAAAAAA